CGTATGTATGTATGTGTGTGTGAGAATATTTATGTGTGTGTTTGTTTGTGTGTGTATGTGTTTATGCGTGTGTGTCTCTGTGTGTGTGTTTGTCTATGTGTATTTGCGAGGTTCAGATCCGGAATTCCAGAAGCTTCTTTACTGTGTTTAACGTTACAAACCAGCTGATCCGCAATTAATTTTCAAAATTTTATTCCAAATTGTCTTTCCAAGCAATCCGTTCTTGAAGCAACGTGGATGCTGTTCATACCTTAGTCAATTCATACTAAATACATACGCTTCCGAACACACACACACAGCCTCTCGACAATATGTGCTTTTGCTGGCTGTAGCAATGCCATGGTGCCAATGGCGCTGCTACAGTCAGCAAAAGCGGATTTGTCGAGAGGCTGTGTGTGTATGTGTCCAAAAAATTTGCATCTTCTATTTTTTCAACCCAGGCTGAAACGCACCGGGCGGACCCGGGCAATCATGCGTTTTTGCACCGGACTTGAAGTACTCAGGTCATTAACTGCATGAATGGCTTTGCTTTACACCTACCTGCTGTGGTCACTAGCATAAATCACCATAAATTTTGCAAAGTAATGTATAATTTCTATTTAACAGTCGTTCTTTAAAAGTAACCTAGTTGTTCAATAAAAAATTTTTTCACTAAGATTTTTAAGTGCCCGTACGTAAGAACCACGCATACCTCAAGCTGAATCTGAAATATGTAAACTGTACTTTGGCTGGGAACATTCTCCCAAAATTACAGCTTTCCAGCTTTTCTGATTACCGAGTTAGCAGTTTTCCCCCCAAAACATTCACATACCCGTATGTGGGTATGTGTCTGGAAAGCTGAATTTGAAATTTTTAAATTGCACTTGGACAGAGAATATCCCCTTAAATTTTAGCCTTCTAGCTCTTCTGGTTACCGAATTGGTAATTTTCCTGCAGAAACTTCCATACGCCCTTACGTTAGTACAACGCAAAGTTTGGGGCTGATTTTGCAACATTTGAGTTGTACTTGGATGGGGAACATCCCCTCAAAACTTCAACTTTCTAACTTTCCAGGTACCCGAGTTAGCAATTTTCCCCCTAAAACTTTCATATGCGCTTACGTGAGTACTATGCATACCAGGGGGCTGAATTTGAAACATTTGAGTAGTGCATGGATAGGGAACATTCCCCCAAAGTTTCAGCTTTCTACCTTTCCAGGTACCCGAGTTAGGAATTTTCCCCCTAAAACTTTAGTACGCTCTTACATGAGTACCACGCACACCTGGGAGCTGTGTTTGAAATCTTTAGCTAGTACACGCACAGGGAATACCCCTGCAAAGTTTCAGCTCCTTAGCTCGTGTGGTTCCCGAGATAGCTTTCCCGCCAAAAAATTTGCATATT